TATCCAGAGGGCAGTTAGGAGCCATTGGAAGGTCTTTTTTTTTTTTTTTTTTTTTTTCATTTCTGGGGATTGAACACAGGGGTGCTTTACCACTGAGGTTAAGTCCCCAGTCCTTTTTATTTTGAGACAGGGTCTTGTTAAATTGCTTAGGGCCTTGCTAAGTTGTTGAGTCTGATCTTGAATTTGTGATACTCCTGCCTTGGCCTCCCAAGTCACTGGGATTATAGGCATGCAATACCGTGCCCTCCTGGAAGGTCTTAAATAGGGAAGTAACATGCTCTGACCTATGTTTGGAGGGGAACAAGGGTTACAACAAGAATTCAATTAGTAGAATTATTCCCTTGCTCCTTCTCATCCTCCATCTGCCACACCTGATAGCTAAACCTCTCCAAAGGTGGGGATCTGAGGCATGTATCCATTGGCTCCTGCCCATTAGTTGAAGGTTCCTGTTGAAAGCAATGGCTCTTCCTGTGTGTATTTCAAAGTTGCTATAGTGAGCCAGCTGAGATTGTGGAATAGAAAAAACTATGACTGCAAAGTGTGCTTAAAGTGGGACTACTGGCAGTATGAGTTGACTTTTCCACCATATCTGTGCTGAAATCTGGCATACTGACAAAACATGGAACAGAAGTGCTTGCTACAGGAAGCTTTTGCTGGAATTCTAACAAGGGAATATAGTGTGGACCACCATGGAAGTAGCATTGACAAGATATGCTAGTGGAGTGGATGAGGCATATGAGAGGTAGAAGGGAATATCCCATAGGCTTTTGGAAGTAATGACGATTTCTCTTATTTAGCTAAGTAGGGGTATGAGAAGAATAGGATTTTGGGAATCATGAGTTTGGTTTAGTTTTAAACATTTAGTAGAGACAATTAGATCACTAAGTAGATTGGTAGTTGGATATAGTAACCTGGATTCTGGAGAGATGTATGGGCTAACTGGGTTAAGGCTGTATATTTGGGAATCACCATTTTGGAAATGGTACTTAAATGAGATTAGAGACTCTCAAGCAATAAGCTTACATACTGAACAGATCTAAGGTCAGAATCTTGGTGTACTGCAACATGTTTGCTTCAAGGAGATGAAAGGAATTAATCAAAGAGACAAAAAAAGAAAAAAGGGGACCAATAAAATGAGGTATAAGGGAAACAAGTAAAGAGTGGGGTCCTAGGTTTGAAGGAGTTGATCAGGTGCTGCTGATAGGTTGAGTAAGGTGAAGGATTGTGGTATTATATGTAGTAATCGTTCATTGGAGACTCAAAAGACCTATGTAGGTAGAGTAGTGGGGATGGATTGCAGTGTGATTAAGAAAATATAGAGGAGAGGCACTAGAGAAATGAGGGGGAGACAGTGTTTTGAAGGAGCATTATTGTAAAATAGGACAAATAAAATGAGGGCAGTAGCCAGAGAGAAATGAGAAATGGGATCAAGGAAAAGATTTTGTTTGTTTTTTAAGATTTGTTATACTGTAGTATGTTTATCTATAGACAAAATTATTTGGTAGAAAGGATGAAATTGATGATATAGCAGAAAGAGGAGACAAGTTACAGGTATGATGGTCCTTGAGAAGGTGAGAGGGAATGGAATGGAATGGAATGGAATGGAATGGAATGGAATGGAATATACATGTGGAGGAAATGGCCTTGACTAGGAACAGGGATGGCAAGAAAGAAGGCAAGGGATATGGGTTTGGATATAGATAGGTTGGCAGCTGTGGTTGTGGGAGGGAGGTATGGGTGTCCTCTTCTGATTGCTTCTATTTTTTTTCAGTGAAATCAAAAGCAAGACTCATCTGAGAGTGAGGATGGGGGAGGAAGAGACAGGAGAAGGTATGAAGTAGTCATCTTGAAAAGAGAATGGACCAGGGAGGTGTAGTTGAGTTGTTGGGCAGCACTGGGGCCCACTTGAATTTGTGAACATGAGCTTAGAGTGAAACCAGTCATCAGCATGGTATTCGTTATTTTTTTTTTTCCTAGTCACTTTCAGCTGCATGGCTAGGCTTAGTGTATGTGGAAAATAGATTGTTACCAGGATTGGAGTTTTTACCAGAGAAATGTGATGAAGTAGCAAGGAAAGATAGAAGGTTTCTAAAAGACAGAATGACTGATCATGAGATTTAAGTCTGATTAAAAAAAAAAAAAAAAGGAGATGAGGAAGTGAGAGTAACAAAGGATTGGGGAAGGCATATGGATTGTAGATTCTAGAGAGGTTGAAGAATTGTTGGAGTTATGAAATTGGAGTGAGTGAGCTGGAAAAATAGGTACTATTTCTGAAGAGTGAGCTCATTGAGAACCTGCAGGTACAGCTAAAACAGAGAATAACTAGGGGAGCTGATCACAGAGAGATCAGTGACTTGATATCCAGAAAGATCATCTATATGGGAATTGAACTGATTAGGAATTATGTCAGGAGTAGTTGTGTAGAAAGTGAGAGATAATAAGCTAGATGCTAAATCTTGAGAAATATGGGGACATGACTTGGGCATTTATAGATCAGTTCAACCATAGCCAGTGGCAAGTGGTAAAGAACAGTGGCATAAGCTGCACAGCTAGGATGTTTTATGGAGGCAGATGGGTTAATAGTTTGGTAATGGCAATGGAAAACAAGGTATCACCTGCCTCCAGGCCTCCAGAGGGAAACAGCCACAACTGGAGAAGCCTTCAGGGAAATGGTGTTCTCATCTAGGTTTCGGTGACAAGAGGGGGAAGATGATGTTCAGAGAAGAGGCTAAAGATACAGTTTATTAATACTGTTAATAGTATTAATAAGCAGTGGGGAAACTATTGTCTGCTTTGACATGTCAAGAATTTTTAACTAAATGAAAAGAGAAAAGTAGAACAAGAAATTGGTGCTCTAATAAGCAATTCTTAATTTAAAATATTCATCTTAGTCATTCCTAGTTGAAAGAAAGAATGTAAGCATTTCCACATACTATGTCTTGGACTGTGATATTCCAAACTTCGTGTCTCCTCCCCAACCTGACTTAGGGCAGGAACTAGAGAGGTTAAAAGTATTGAGAGGGGTGTGGAATTACAAATGGGGTGAGATTTTTGCGCCAACAGAAGAGAAGGGATCCTGAGCACAAATAGAGGTTTTAACAATGTGTGCTTTGGTTAGTGAGTTGTGTGATGAGTTATAGAAGTGAAGAATTCAGGAGTTTCAGAGCTGATGTCTGATATATTTTTTTTTATTAGAAAAAGGAGATAAAGCCATGTGTTTAGTGTGATATGAAAGAGGGTAGCATTTGATAAAGAGTTTTCTGTTGCTTTGATGTAGAATGGGAGCTCATCTGTTAAAGAAATTTTTCTTCACAAATTATAAGATCTGTTCAGGTTAGGAATTCATTTTATAAATTCACCAGTCTCCCTGGTTTAATGACTTCATCCTGAAGTCTTAGGAAACTGTCTATTGGAATGGAATAGTCTGAATTAATTCTGATTGGGGTTTGTTCACAGAGGTAGAATAAAAGAAAGGCAGAGAATGGAGGAGAAGAGTAGCCAGGTGTTTGAAGGAATGTTCTACAGAGTATACTTAGAATATGGAAGGTAGTGGAAACAAAAAGGGATTGAGAAGGAGAAAGAGAATTCAAATTCTGGAGGTCTAAATGAGGTAAAAGAACTCGAATAACAGTGTAAGGACATGAGATACATGGAGAAATATGGTTTTATTCAGGGAATGGGAAGTTGGAATTTTAAGATTTGAGATGTAGCAGAGTTCCAGATAATGTCCATGAGATTGTTTTGGGAATTCATAACTGAAGCACAGGTGAGGGTATAATCATTAAGTGAAGGAGTTCAAACTACTGACAGCCTAGATGCTAGAGAATCAGATGGTCTGTCCACATGTATGTTGAAGTCCTCAGATACATTGGCAGGGACTGGAATAGAGAAGAATGCAGGTGCTAAAGTCTTGAATGAATGAAGAGTGATTCTTAAGGGATAGAAGACAGTGTTCATTGAAGTAGAGAATGATCTAACTGGATGGTGGAGCCTCACAGTAGCATCACTTTGTGGAGGTAGATGTGAATGGAATAATAAAGAAGTGTAAAGTTGAGATTTTAGTGTATTTGTTTGTTCTTTCCTCATGTCATCATACACTTATACCTTTATCTTTTCTGCTTTTTCTTATCTATTTATTGTAAGATATCTTTAAAATGAATAGCTTTATTCCTAAGAAATAACTAATGAACTAATGTGAACTTGATGAGTTTAACATCTCATTTGTCTGATTTCTTTGTGGTAACTAATAATACTGGTTTCCTGGGGTAGGAGGAGTTAGACATTCGAACACTACAAACAAAAAATCGCAAGCTAGCAGAAATGCTCGATCAGCGTCAGGCCATCGAAGATGAACTTCGGGAGCACATTGAAAAACTAGAACGACGACAGGCCACTGATGATGCTTCACTGTTGATTGTCAACCGGTACTGGAGTCAGGTAGCTAACTTGTTTATTTGTTCAGATTTGTTTGAGCATTTTAGCTCTTAGTACTCTTCGTTTCAAAAGTTGTACCTTTTTCTATTTTCATAATTGTACATATATGTGCTTCTCCAGTTCGATGAAAACATCCGTATCATCCTTAAACGTTATGATCTGGAGCAGGGTTTAGGAGACCTGCTCACAGAAAGGAAAGCCCTTGTTGTGCCGGAACCAGAACCTGACTCTGATAGCAATCAGGAACGCAAAGATGACCGAGAGAGAGGTGAGTATTTGTGATTGATTCTATCATTGCATATTATCTTGGTTTTCAAATTTGAGCTTTACTTTGAAGCTCTCCTTTTGAGGGGAAAAATGGATTTTGATATTTTCCCCCTGTGTCCTCAGGGGAAGGGCAAGAGCCAGCTTTCTCTTTCCTTGCTACTTTGGCCAGCAGTTCCAGTGAAGAGATGGAATCTCAGCTGCAGGAGCGTGTGGAGTCCTCCCGGCGAGCTGTGTCCCAGATTGTGACTGTTTATGATAAATTGCAAGAAAAAGTGGAGCTCTTATCCCGGAAACTAAACAGTGGAGGTGAGGCAAGATCCTGGAGACCAGAAGTAGTGGGAGGTGAATTAAGTCACCTTTGTGGAACTGCAGTATAGCTTGATGGTAGAGTAGCATGTGCATGGCTTTGGGTTCAATCCTGAGCACCAAAACAGTAAAGGGAAGGAAAAAAAAAGATAAGAAAAAGAACTTTCCTTTGCATGGTGATTTATAGTTTGCAAAATTACATATTTACTTTTTATTAAATTTTTTGGAATACTAGTCTTCATTACTGGTGATGCCATTACTATGTAAAACTAGTATTTTAAGAATGCTTCACATTTTGAGCCACAGTCCTTCAACAAACTGAGGAAAAACCCCATTCTAATACTTTATATTAGATAGTTTTATAAGTAGCAAAATTAATTTTGGTTTAAGAGTCAGTTTTAATGTTTTTTGTTTTTAATGTTTTTAAAAGAGTTGGCTGAGTTGGTTGTGAGATGATTTCTATGTTTAAAAAGGTAAAATAGAAAGGATATGGATGATGAAGTGTGTACTTAAATCACTATTTGGAATGCTCATGTTATTCAGTGTTAATATAGGAATTTATATTTGCATACTACAGTTAAGTGTTTGTGTAGGTAGTTTACATCTGTAGTCCTTTGTGACAAATAACTTGCTCAAATGCAAATAAAATGCCTTGATTTTATGTTTTTAGTAACAATCATTGTATAGTTGTAAAAACTTTCCTGATTATCATTAAGATATTTAAACTTTTATTTCTGAGAGAAATAAACTGAATGTAATGGAGTTGAACCTTTGGGTGGGCAAGTAAGAAGTACATTTTCTGTAAATTGTAAGGATACTATGGCTAAATAATCAACAGAATTAAGAAGCATGTAGATGACTTGTGAAAATTTGGTCGGCAAAGGTTTCTTTAGAGTTTTTGTTAGTATGCGTATTTCTGGTTTTTTATTAAGGAAACATAGTGGGGAATGAATAGATATGAATCCTCCCTGTTACCTACTGTAAACAAGCTGTGTATTACTTCTTTCTCCCTTGGTTCTAGTTGAAAAATTAGAAGGAATTGTTAAATCTTAATCATATAGGTAATTTACAGAGGTTATATTAATGTTGGATTTGATTTTAGAAATGAATATCAGGTAAATTAACTGCTGATTTGTAAAGGAACTAAAATGAATACTGTATCAAACAGTACTTTAAAATATTTTTTTAATGGCATGTGGTTTAAGATTGAGTTTAAGTTTAAAAATAAAAAATGCATTACAAATTACAAATAGCTGAACTATTTGTAACACTAAAGGAAATCACTATTGAAAAGCTGAACTTTCTAAGAGACAAAAATATATAAACTGTATTGTATCAACTAACTTTTTGGAAATTCATTTTCCCCTCATGTTTGTTTAGTCCTTGATTCAAAAGGATTACATTTATTAATTCACTGCATTAGTTTTCTGATCCCACTCTTTTTTTTTTTTTTTTTGGCTCTGCCCACAGAGATTCTTATTTAGTAGGTATGTGATGCATCCTAGGGAAATGTTATTTTAAAAGTTCTGCCAGTGATTTTGATGGGCGATCTCAACCGCATGACCAGCACACTAGCTTCATACTACAGGTTCGTAGCATAGAATTTAACTAGTGAGATCAAAATAAACACACAAACTCAATTTACCTTTTTCTTTGGCCAGGTCTGAGACGGTTCTCCCCTCTGGCTCCTTCTTTGAGCCACCTGGTGGGGCAGCGAGGTTTACACAGACTAGCAGGAGAGAGAGAGGCAGAGCACACCAGAGAGTGGTCTTTTATTGGGGAACAAGAAATTTAGGGGAAAATTCCATCCAATGAAGGTCCAGGGGGACAGCATTCCAAGGTCAGGGTCAGTGATTGGTCTCAGGGTCAATGGTCAGTCACACCCCCACACGGATGGGCTCTGGAAAGGGTGGGGATTAGTTCTGACACAGTTCAGCCTGAAGCCTCACGCCCAATCAGGGAGGTGCCCAATCACATTGGAGAACGGCTTCCCACAGGGATCCTAGATTGAAAACCATGGAAACATACCATGTGACTAACTTGTTCCAAATTGTTTCTAAGAGTAATGGCAATAGGTGGCATGAGAGAGCACATGTTTTTTCTCTGTTATCTCTATGTAAAAAATGATGTGTATCTTGAGAATCTCGAATTCCGTTTGAATAAAGTTTGGATTTGAGCTGTAGTTGTGACATCTGAACATATGAACTGGTATAATAAGCTTTAAAGACTTACCTACCTGCTTTGGAAATGATGGTGTACATTTTGGTTTTTGAACTTGAAGAGTGCCTCTAGCATAGTATTCCAGAATATGATGAGTGAGTCTATGATTTTATAGATGCTTGTTTGAAGATGGAAATTCTGCTCCCAACCCCCTTCTCTCTCCAAACAAATTTTTCTTGTTAGTGTTAGTTAATAGTAGGAATTTGTGATAGCTTTATAAAATAGAATTATATTGCTATTAATTCTGATACTGAGTAGAGATCTTGTCTTCAATTCTAAAATGTACTTTCATGGGGGATTGTACCTTATCTGAATAAAACTACATAACCTCCATTTCTTAAGGCATTTTGACTTTATAGCAAGGGATGAGGTTAGGTGACCTTGACTATAATTTGATGGTTTTTTTTAAATGAAGTCACCTAACCTCTGGGTACCTCATGTGTCACACAAGATAATTAAAAACTAGCATGCTTCTTGAGGTTCAAAGAAAATGAAGTGAGATTAATGCTTTGGTGGGATACGTGATTTTTAAAATTTGGCACTATAGATGCTAAACTAAAGTATAGTCCTTCTTCCTCAGATAATCTGATAGTAGATGAAGCAGTACAGGAACTGAATTCCTTCCTCGTGCAAGAGAATATGAGGCTACAGGAACTGACAGACCTCCTTCAGGAGAAGCATTGCACCATGTCTCAGGAGGTATTTGATTAGAAAAAAGAGACACCTGTCTCTGTTGGCACTGGCAAATATTGACTCAGAATTCTGCCTATTTTAATATTGAAGAGCATGCAGGGCAGGCATTCAGCTCTGAGAAATAACAATCTGAGGACAGGTTAAGGGAAGAAGAAAATAAGTGAATATTTCTCCTTGACTGTTACTATTTAAATAGACATAGGAGCTTCAGTCTTTGGGAAGAAATGCTGTCTTATAGGGTTTTGCAAAATGCAGGAAAAGTCCCAGACCCCAAATAATGGATTACTCCAAATACAAAAGACTGTGAACAATGTTATTAAGGAATGGCTTGATAAAATTCAACAGAGAATTGGACAGTAGAATCTAGTGCATTGATGGTGTCCTGGGAACTTGGGGAATGTGAGTTTTTAGTCCAAACTTGTGCCATGATCAAACCATGCCAAAATTGAGCACTTAAAAGTCTCTTATGATGTTCTACTGATATGTGGCCTACCTTGGTTTGGCCACTGAATTCTCATGATGATTAGTAATTTCATAGTTACCATTTACTTAGTGTGTAGTATTTAAACATTTTATGAATATCATCTCTAATAGTAAAATAGCTTCCATTTTGCTGCTAAGGAAACAAATTCAGAAGATTAGTGACTGGTATGAGAGTAGATAGAATGTGATTGAGCTGTGGTTTGAATGTAAATTTGTTTTATTTCAAAGCCACATTTTTCATGTTTCCTAAACTCTGTGCTAAGTTCCATTCAGGACTGGTTACATGAGAACCATCTGGTGAGTTTATTAATACATATGGTTCTCAGAGCTTCTAAGGGGTTAAAGTATAGAAGCACTTACAAATAAATTGGAATATAGTAAGAAAATGAAATACACATCTATGCCACCAAGAGGGATAGTTCTTCCCTTTCCCAAATCTCAGATTACTAAATTGGAGGGCATGTAGTTTTGATCACAGATTACTAAATTGGAGGGCATGTAGTTTTGATCAACCCAGTTGATGTGCAAGATGGATCTCATAGCTGGCTACTGATGCTACCTGTCAGCTGCAGGCTTACCTTAGTTTCTCACTGGAATGCCTTCAGATCACCTCTCTTGCATGGCAGTCTCAGGGTAGTCGAAACTCTTAATGGCAGCTGACTTCTTCCAGTGAACATTCTAATAAAAACAAGCAAAAGCTTCATGCTCTTTCTGACATAGCCTTGACACTTTGTACAGTTATTTCCACTGAGTCACTTAAGTTGATACTAATTTGTATATCAACAGATTTAAGGTGAAGGATCAAAGATCCCACCTCTTGATAGGACGGTCAGAGAATTTTGGGGCATGTTTTAAAACCATTCTGAAGAGTATGTATACATTAATGTGAACATGTAACACAAGATTTGTGTCTTTATCCTATCTGATTCTGGATTGTTCTGGGGTCACCTTAAAGGAGAATGAAAATTTTTCATTTTGTTTTTATATGGATTATCATTTGTGGAAAAGTGGGGAGAGAAAGTTGGGAGTAAATATAGTTGTCTTTTTTGAATTTTCATTTTCTAAATTGTCTGATAAAAATGAAGAATATTATCTTTTGTTTCTAAAAAAATACATATTTTCTAATGGATTTGTGGTCTATTAAGGTGCTTTTCAGATGTAGAGAAAGTATTGAATTTATTTATTTTTGATTATTGAATCTTAAGTGGTCTTTTATGTGAGAGTTCTTACAGATTTCTACAGTTTTCATAATTGTAATTGGCTCATAACTGTTAAAATGAATCTGCAGCTTCATTTGTACACTCATGCATTGAAACATCTTTTTGTAATTATACAAGCATTGGTTAATTTTGTGGGATTTAGAACTTAAGCTACTGATGTAAGGTATTTCTTTTCTAATTTGGTCTCTTTTTGCTGTTTTTCTGAATGCCCATCTTTGGCATGTAGTTCTCTAAGTTACAGAGTAAAGTGGAGACAGCGGAGTCACGGGTATCTGTCCTGGAGTCTATGATTGATGATCTGCAGTGGGATATTGACAAAATTCGTAAGAGGGAACAGCGACTCAACCGACACTTGGCAGAAGTCCTAGAACGGGTCAGTGCTGTGTTGTTACGGTTTGGATACTAGAATCATTTTTAAGGAGTCTGTTCAGAAAGGATCAAGTTGGATAATGATGCTTGGGGGAAATAACTGATCCTTGAAAAGTACATTGCTTATCAGGCCAAAATTTAAGGTCATTTACTAAAGAATCTTTATCTTCTCTATAGGTGAATTCAAAAGGCTATAAGGTATATGGAGCAGGAAGCAGTCTCTATGGTGGCACAATCACTATCAATGCCCGGAAGGTAAAGTCAGTGACCCACTTAGAGAGCAGTGTTTGACCTGGTGTTATGTCTTATTCTCATTTGCTATTTCTCTGCTTCTCTAGTTTGAGGAAATGAATGCAGAGCTTGAAGAGAACAAAGAGTTGGCCCAGAACCGTCACTGTGAGCTGGAGAAACTTCGACAAGACTTTGAGGAGGTCACTACCCAAAATGAAAAGTTGAAGGTAGGAGGCATATCTCTGAAAAGCAGTAAAACCAGACCAACTCATGTGTACGTGTGTGTGTGTGTGTGTGTATGTGTGTGTGTGTGTGTGTGTGTGTACTCATATATATATATGAGTACACACACATACACTTGTGAACCTGCATAATTTACTAGCAAAAAGAGGAATGTATTTTACAAAATTCAACATTTCTTCATGATAAAAACTCTAAACAAATTAGGTATAGAAGAAACATACCTCAACATAGTAAAGACCAGATATTATAAGTCCATAACTAGCTTCATACTCAATGGATAAAAGTTGAAAGTTTTTCATATAAGATTTGGAACAAAATAAAGGTGGCCAGTTTCACCATTTTTCTCAACCTGGTACTGGAAGTCCTAGCAAGAGCAGTTAGGCAATAAGAAATAAAAGGCCTTTTCTGGTTGTGGTGGTACATACCTATAATCCCATGGGAGGATTGGGAGGCTGAAGCAGGAGGATTCCAAGTGTGAGGCCAGCCTCAGCGACTTAGTGAGACCCTGTCTTAAAGAAAGCCAGTGTGTATGTGTGGGCCAGGAGAGTGTGGGATTGTAGATCAGTGGTACAGTGACCCTGGATTCAATCTCCAATTTATAGTCCCATGAGGTGTAGTAAAAGGCCTTCAGATTGGAAAGGAAGAATTAATGTCTGCTTCTAGATGATATCATCTTTTAAATAGAAAACCCTGAAGACTTCATCAAGAAAACTGTAAGAGCTATAAACAAGTTCAGTAAAGTTGCAGGATACAAACTCAATATATAAAAATCCATTGTTTTAGTCAGCTTTTTAGCTGGTATAACCAGAAAGATCTGATAAGAACAATTAGAGGAAGAAAAGTTTATTTTGGAGCTCATGTTTCAGAGGTCTCAGTCCATAGATGGCTGACTCCATTCCTCAGTTCCTCCGGTAAGGCAGAACATCATGACAGAAGTGTGTGGTTGAAGATAACAACTGGGGATATGGCACCAGGAAGCAAACCAAGTGTTTGCTCGCCAGAGACAAAATATTTGCCCCAAAGGTATGCCCTTCAGTGACCCATCTTCTCAAGCCATACCCTGCCTCCTACAGTTGACACCCACTTAATCCCTATTAGGGGATTAATGCAGTGATTATGTTAAACCTTTCAGAACCTAATCATTTCACCTCTAAACTTTTTTGCATTTTCTCATGAGAGACTTTGGGGGACACCCAATATCCAAACCATAACAAGTTGTATTTCAATGAAAAGAAAGACTATGGAAACAATTTCATTTTATAATAGCATAAAAAAAAGTACTTAGGAATAACTCTGACCAAAGAGGTAGGAGATGTATGTGTACATTGAATGGATAAAGAAAATGTGGTATAGATACATCATGAAGTATTATTCAGAGTTAAAAAAGGAAACCATGTCATTTGTGACATCTGTGAACCTAGAGGACATTATACTAAATGAAAACAGGCCAGCCACACAAAACAAATATTGCATGATCTCCCTTATGTGTGGGATTAAAGAAGTGGAACTTACTTACACAAACTAAGTAGAATGGTGGTTATCAGGGGCTGGAAACTGGGGACAGTGGGAAGATGTTGGTTTAAAGGTAGAAAGTTTCAGTTGTGCAAGGTAAATTCTGGAGATTAAATGTATAGCTTGGTGATTATAGTTGATATTTTTGTATTTTATATTTGAAATGTACTGAGAGTGGATCTTAAATGCTCTTACTACAAAAAAAGTAACTGAGATGATGGATATATTTATTAGCTTATCTGTGGCAATCACTTCATAGTGAATACATTTATCAAAACATACACTCTAAATATATACAATCTATTTGTTGATTGTACCTTAGTAAAACTGGGAGAAAAACCCCTAATTTACATATTTATTATCTGCAACTTGCCTTGTTTTGAAAAGAATTTAAAGCAACCTATAAAGATCTAAAGAGTAATCAGGGTGTTCTAATTTAGGAATTATTGAGGAAAATGAACAATAGGGTAAAATAGAGTGAGAATTTAAAATAGATGTTAAATTGAGCCTTTATAGCTCTTCTTCTATCTTTGGATCTATATTGAAAAATGTAAGACACATATCAAACAGTCCTGAGTGATCTATAATTTGGGATAGATTTTACAAAAAGAAAGGGGAGATAAACTTCATAATCTTCATAATAATTGTTTCACTTTTGCAGGACCTTCAGTGAGTTTGGTGATTTATTTTCTATATATCTAGCATCTTGCTCACATATGCTAGATTGTGCTTCTGACTTGACTTTCCTTTGGGTCCTTCTAAGGTGGAATTGCGGAGTGCAGTGGAGGAGGTGGTTAAGGAAACTCCAGAATATCGTTGCATGCAGTCACAGTTCTCTGTTCTGTACAATGAGAGCCTACAGTTGAAAGCTCACTTGGATGAGGCTCGGACCCTGCTTCATGGCACCAGGGGAACCCACCAGCGACAGGTTGAACTCATTGAGGTAACAGCGCTGCTTTGTTTTCTGTAATATATGTTTTTCTACCTCATTAAGTGTCATAGGTTTGCTCTCTCTCATGCAGTTAATCTCTCATCCATTCAGCAAACATGTATAGAATCCCTATTGATGGTGAGCATATAAAGAACAGAATTCCTGTCTTTAAAGATCTTATAGTCCCCTGGGAGAATAGTATCCATTCATTTGCAATGTGTACAATAGCAGCATATCTAAAAGGTACAGTAATGGAGGAGACAGAGCATATGATTTGACTGTGGAACCTTCTTGATTCTACTTGAGAAGGTGAAGTGCAAATCTTAAAAATATATAACTTTAACTTTACTTGTAGTTAAAAGTAGGAGTATATTCCCAGCAGTGAGATCAGCATGTATGAGAATGTGAAAGAGCATGACAAATAGTTTCAAATGGCTGGAGCTTATGTGTATGAGGAAGCCATGGGTGGAAACTTTGGTTTATATGTTCTTTTTTTCACCATAGTCCTTAAAATAATGTTTTAAATAGTTGGTTTTATTATATATGTCAGCCAAATTAATTACTACTACTTTATAGATTTTTATATATTCTTTTGTGGTTGAGGTCTCTAACTAAATTGTAATATTTTCATAGATGAAGCCCATTTCCTTTCTTTCTTCACTATCCTGCCAGTTTCTAAATTAATGTTTTGAAGCTATCTAACGTTATTGGAAGTGGAAATATTCTGAGTAACCTATTTTTTCCATATCATATTCTTTTTTCTTTTTAAATCTTGTAGGTCAAATTTAGGAGACAAAATAATAGGATGTGATATTTCCACTTTATATATATATATTTAGTTGTAGATGGGCACAATACTTTTATTTTGTTTATGTATTTTTTTTTTTTTAATGGGGTACTTGTGATCAAACCCAGTACCAGGAATTGAACTCGGGCACTAGACTGCTGAGCCACATCCCCAGCCTTATTTTGTATTTTTTTATTTAGAGACGGTCTCACTGAGTTGCTTAGTGCCTCACTTTTGCTGAGGCTGACTTTGAACTCATGATCCTCCTGCCTCAGCCTCCCTCCCGCTGGAATTATAGGTGTGCACCACCACATCCAGCTTTCCACATTTTGATAAGAATTTTTGACTGTTTCCTTTTTCTGTGTGTAGCGAGATGAGGTTAGTCTTCATAAGAAGCTGAGAACTGAAGTGATCCAGCTAGAAGATACACTGGCTCAAGTCCGCAAGGAATATGAAATGCTGAGGATAGAATTTGAGCAGACCCTTGCTGCCAATGAACAAGCAGGTATATAATTACTTTTGCTCCACGCTGCAGTTTTGTCTGTAAATATATAAAGGCCTTTCTTGAAAGACACAACTTGGTTCCAGGATTTGTTAATATTAATTTCAACTCAGAAGTCCTAAAGTACCTTAAATAAATCCTGTGATTCCTTTTGACACACAGCCCAAGTATTTTTTAACTCTAATTGACCAGTTTCATTTTCACTTTCTGAGAAAGAATATTTTTTATGGTAATTCTCTCTGTTTTTCAGAGCATCCTCATGTGTTCTGCATTTTTTCTCCTTTTGCCTTTACCCTCATTATAGTTTTTCTTAACATTGCTATTGCTCTGTTTAAGGCCCTATAAACCGGGAAATGCGCCACCTCATCAGTAGCCTCCAGAATCACAATCACCAGCTGAAAGGGGAGGTCCTAAGGTATAAACGGAAGTTGAGAGAAGCCCAGTCTGATCTGAACAAGGTAAGGAGGAATAGAATAAGTATCACTAGCTATTAAGTTTGTGAAGCTT